CTCTATCATATTGGATGTCCCTTTGTGATGACCTTATGGTAGTACAAAAGTCTCACAGCATGACCAGGCATGGATGGGTTGTGATCTGATTATTGTAAGGAATGCCCACATTAGTGAGCTCCCAGGTCCATTTGTGTATTTGGGAGCCCATTTCAGGGGCTGCCATGTTTTTTTTTTTTTTTAAATCATCACCCAATAGCCAACCTCCTCCATTCACAGATAGGCTGATGTTCAGAAAGCAGATAGTCTAAAATTATAAGTACTTCCTTTTTGGTGGGATCTGCCTGAGCCTGTACTTCATCGGGTTAGTTTTTAAGAAGCCGAGATCGCTTCCATACCATCCTAAGGCAGAAGAACAGGTCTTTCATGGAGAAAAGAAAGAACTGCTTTCAATGAGTTTATGTCTCTTGACCAGGTTGAATTACCCCACAGAGACCTCAAAGAACTTGATCATTGAACTGCTTGCTACAGGTTAGCTTTCAGGATTAATGGAGAAGGGCAGAGCAGCTGTTAGACCAGAGATGGAGAATGAAGAAAAGCCATCAAAAAAGGAAGGTAAATGACAAATGTTGGAGGGGATGTGGGAAAAATGAGATATTAAGGCATTGTTGGTGGAGTTGTGAACTGATTCAACTATTCTCTAGAGCAATTTGGAACTACTCCCAAAGGGCTGTAAAACCAGGCATACTCTTTGATCTAGCAATACCACTACTAGATCTGTATCCCAAAGAGATCATAAAAAAGGAGAAAGGACTCAAGCAAGTCTTTCCATGTTTTTCTGAGAGCATCCTGCTCATCATTTCTTACAGTACAATAGTATTCCATCATAATCACATACGACAAGTTGTTCAGCCATTCCCCAACTGATGGGCATCCCCTCAATTTCCAATTCTTTACCTACAGAAAAGAACTCCAGAAAAGAAAAGAACTATAAAGATTTTTGCACATATGGATCCTTTTCCTTTTTTTTTTTTAATCTCTTTTGGGATACAGATCTAGTAGTGGTATTGCTAGATTAAAGAGTATGCCTGGTTTTATAGCTCTTTGACAATAGTTCCAACTTGCTCTAGAGAATGGTTGAATTAGTTCACAACTCCACCAAACAATGTATTACTATCTCATTTTTCCCATATCCCCTCCAACATTTGTCATTTGCCTTTTCTGTCCCATTAGACAGTCTAATAGGTATGAAGTAGTACCTCAGAATTGTTTTAATTTGCATTTCTCCAATCAATAGTGAGCTAGAATATTTTTTCATACAGCTACAGATAGCTTTGATTGCTTCATCTGAAAATTGATTTCATCTTTTGATCATTTATCAATTGGGGAATGGCTTTTATTTTTATAAATTTGACTCAGTTCTCTATATATTAGAGAAATGAGGCCTTTATCAGAGAAACTTGCTTCAATTTTTTTTTCACAATTACTAACTGTATTTCCCTCCATCCTATTCTCCCCACTCCTGTTTATTCTCTCTTCTTTCATCTTGTCCCTTCTCAGAAGTGTTTTGCTTCTGCCTCCCACCTCCCCCAATCTGCCCTCCCTTCCATCACTCCCCTCTTTCTGTAATGCCCTTCCCCTTCAACTTTTCTGTAGGGTAAGATAGACTTCTATATCCAATTGAGCGTGTATATTATTCTCTCTTTGAGCCAATTCTGATGACATCGAGTAAGGTTCACTCACTTTCTCTCACCTCCCACCTCTTCCCTTCCACTGTAAAAGCTTTTTCTTGTGAGGCAGGATTTGAACTAGGGTCTCCTCACTATATAACCAGTGCTCTTTTTACAGTACCACCGTTGAAATGAAGATAGCTGCTATCTCTTATGACATCACTGGATTAGATGGATGACAATACATCTCAGTTAGGTGGCTGCTTATGTCCAAAGATTGGGGATTAATACATTAGTGTCAGCTTGGAGAAAGGTCTGTAGTGTCATGCCCTCGGGATTCAGTTCTTGGCTTGGTTCCACTCTACATTTTAATCTATGACTCAGATGGAGGTACGTCTAGCGTGCTTCTGAAGTTAGTGAATGACACAAATCTGTGAGGAATAACTAATACAGTGGATGACTGAATCAAGATGAAAAATATCTTCACACACTACAATAATGGGTTCCATCTAAGAAGTAGGCATTTAGATAAGGATAAATATATAAGTCCTAAACTTAGGTTAAAAAATACAAGCACCAGGGGAGGGGCAGGAGGGTGGTGTTGGAGAGATGTGATTAGATAAAAATTTCCATGAAAAATACTCAAGGTTTTTAGTGGACTTCAAGTCCAGTATGAGTCAACAGTGTGATGTGGTTGTAAAAAAAAAGCAAGCTAATGCAATCTTGGGTTGTATTAAAGTTTAGAACAAGGAAAACAATAGTCCCACTGTACTCTGTGCTGGCCAGACCACACCTGGAGTATTGTGTTCTGTTCTGGATGCCAGCTTTTCAAAGGAACTTTGGGGAGGTGGAGCATATGGAGAGGAAGGCAACCTGCATGGTGAAGGAACTCCAAACCATGACATCTGAAGGTCAGCTTAAAGAACTAGGGATGTTTAGTATGGATTAAAAAAAAAAAGACTTAAAGTATACTCATTCTAACTACAGGGCCTTGAAAGAGTCCTGTATTATTATTTTTACTATTATTTTCTGGAGAAAAAGATTTAAGGGGTTGTCATAGGGGATCCTTAATCTACATCTGAAAGGGCCCTCAGATGCTGTCTCGTCTAATTCCCCCTATGCAGAAACCAAGTTGAAGTAGACAGAATGATTTGTCCAAGGTCACAAAGGAAGTGTCAGAAGAAGAATTGAAATACCAAACCTCAGACACTAGAGCTAGGGTGCTTTCCGCCGTTTCAAGCTTGTTGTTCAATATCTGAAGCAATGTCTGTTGGGAAGAGGGATTAGATGTTCATCAGCACTGACTGCTGGGAAACCATTAAGAGTGTAGAGAAAAGGAAAGTTAAAAACTGAAAAGGGAGTTAACACCACTGGCTTTTGGGTCCCTGATGACAGCCCACCTTTGGACAAACAGGCTTCATTTCATTCTTCCTCTTATTAGCATGGATCTGGTTCCCATTCATAAGGTCGGGATGTATGCAGACTCCACTCTTTGCTGCCAGTCTACAGAGGGAGCTGTGAGAAGCCCTAATATGGCAGTTATAGCAGCCTAGGGTTAGGTGAAGGAGTCCTTATGTTCCTTCCCTTCTTTATTTTTTGAAAGTAACTGGAGAATTCTCCACCTGAGAGAGAAAGCGGCAATGCGTTATCTGCAGTGGATTGTTGTGTCTAAATTGATACAGGATACTAGTCTATACTCCCAAAGAGACCAAAGAAAGAGAAACAGGACACATATTTATAGCACCTCTTTTTGTGGTAGCAAAGAATTGGAAACTGAGAGGATGTTCATCAATTGAGGAATGGCAGAACAAATTATGGTATAAGAATGTGATAGAATACTATTGTGCTGTAAGAAATGATGAAGGGGATGGCTTCAGAGAAACCTGGGAAGACCTGTATGAATGGATGCAAAGGGAAATAAGCAGAACCAGGAGAACAATTTATACAATAATGACAATATAGTAAAGATGAACAATTATGAAAGACTTAGGAACTCAGATCAATGTAACGACCATAATTCAAAAGGACTCATGATGAAATAGAGTATCCACCAGAACCGATGGGTTCAGATTGCAGAATGAAGCCTTATGTTCTTCTCTTTTCTTCTTCACTCTTCTCTCTCTCTCTTTCTCTCTCTCCTTCCTCTCTGTGTCTCTCTCCCTCCCACTCTCTCTCACACTCACACACGTGCGTGCACACACACATACACACACACACGCACATTTTTTTTTTCTTTCTGACATGGCCAATATAGGAATCTATTCTGCATGACTATACATCTTTCAAATGGGTTTTGTTTTTCTTGCCTTCTCAGTAGGTGGGTAGGGGGAAGAGAGGGAGAGAACTCAAAATTGAAAATAAAATAAAACTGAATTTAAAAAAGATTGGTATTCATGATTTTTAGTTGGGAAAGAAGGATCTGAGATCTAGAGGGGACCTCAGCAGCTATCTAGTTCAACCCCCTCCTGTTACAGATGAGGAAACTGAGACCTGTGAAAGAGAAATGACTTGTCCAAGGATACACAGGTAATAAATATGAGTCCAAATTTGAATCCAGGACCTTGAACTTCAGAGTCAGTGAATGCCCTTTCTACCACACCATGTGGCCTCCAGACTTTCTTGAATTTCATCAAGACTTAAGAGGAGAACTCATACAAGAAAAATTTTAAATGTCAATTTTGAAAATTCTTCAAAACATTTTTATTTTGTATCATTATTTTCACAGCATTTAGAAAAATCAGAATGGATGATTCATATAAAAAATGGTGGCTATAGAAATCAGGAGGTCTAGTTTTTTTTCCAGGTCTTACTCATTAAAAAATATGAAAAACATGAAAAAATTGTTATAGAAATAGTCTTCATTATTTGAAGAACAGAGTGGAGAAGTAAACAAATTGTTTTTTTCAAGGAGGTTATTAAAAACACCATTTAATCTTTGTGAGCATTTGGAAATGTCTAAAATTCAAACCACATTTGATATACAGGTACTAGCACCCTATGAATAGACCAAAAACTCAGTTTTTGACCCCATAGATAAAATAAAATTAAGGTGTGGGAATATTAAATATATATGTATACATATGCACATACAACAAAGGACTTCATTTAAAAAAATAATCTAGCCCCCTTCCCTAGTCACTTGCAGACACTGTAAATATGAATTTTTTTTTTTTTTAATGTTCCCTTTCGTCTTGATACAGGTAAACAGAACCTGCAGATTACACAGGGTCAATGCCAGTCATCAGATAACTGTGACCAAATACATCAGCTAACATATGACTGTAAAAACCCCATTTGCTTCACTAATTTGCCTGGTTTTCTTCACTTTGATCTTAAATCTTGTTTTAGGAAAAAAGACAAAACAAAACAAAACTCAATCTGAAATCAAGATTCTTTAGAAAGGCTCGGCTCATTTTTATTGTGTTTTTCAACCACCATTTGTGAGAAAATCGTTAGATGATGCTGATGATGCTGCAGGGTAATTTTTTTTTTAAAAGGGCTTTGCTGTTCAGCAGCCAGAAGTCACCCTTCTTAACCAGTAATATTGCAAGGTAGTTTGTCTCTCGAGCATCCTCAAATCACATTAACATAATCTTTAGGAACCGTTGCTTCTGGCCATTGGGGCAGGGTGCTCATCTTTCAAAGGAAAGAAGTCCGGGTCTCCACATTTCCATACCTATTGACTGTCCTTAATGACAGCTATTCCCCCTTGGAGGGAGGGGGCTGACCACCAGCAAAACAGTGGAAAACAGATGAAAGCAAAAACCCGTTGTGCATAACTTTGTTACTCAGAAGTCATGTATACTCTTAGATGTCAGCTTGTTGGGGAAATTCTCAGAGGCTCATCCTTTGAGATTGTGTTTTCAAGGCATTATTAAGAAAGAAAGCTTTATTTTTGATAAAAGCCTCAATGGAATGGAGAGTGGCATACTGAGCCAGGTATAAATAACCTGCTCCCTGGCTTTCTTACGTCTTTCTGAAGGCCAACGAGTCTTTCGGCTCTGCTCTCTAAAGAACCCCATTCGATGCTTAAAGGAGTTACATCTGATGTGGCGTGGCTAATTTCCATCCAGAGAGTGGGCTCCTAACCTGGCAGGATCTAGCTCTAAATGAGAACGATCATTTTGATTAACACGGGGGAAAGTCATATTCACTTACACACTAGGTAACTGTAAGCAGAAACAAAAAATTCCAAATGTCAGTATTTTCAATGAGCCTGGACTGCCATCCCTGTCGATGTTTCCATTAGTTCTTGTATGTGGTTTTTGTTTTTCTGTTGGTTTGGTTGTGCTCTGGTGCTCAGACTTAAGAAATGCTGTGATGGTTTGCTTGCTTGCTGTTGAAGTGCAGGAAGTATTGCCTATTACCTTTTTAAGATCCTATAAAAACAGGTGTTTGTTGGCATGTCTACTCAAACTTTCTGTTCAACTTCTCTGTTCTCTGTTAAAAACCTTCTGTTGATTTTCTAGGCAGTCTTTCAATTTATCCTCAGTCAACGTCAGTCGCTGCTCCAGAATAGATACGGTCTACAAAAAGAGGACAACGAAATGAACAGATGAGGGTTATGGTGATAGACTCATTACCCTCTGCCAGCAGGGCACAGGACACCAGGACTCAGGGTAGGGGTTCTTAACCTTTATGGGATCACTGATCCTGTTGGGCAGTCAGCCCGGATGCCTATGGATGATGTCTTTCAAAGCATAAAATAAAACATATAGGAATACAAAGGGAATCAATTCTGCTGAGATACAGTCCCCAAAACATGTAAAAAAACAAGTTCATAAGGCAATAAGTTAATAATTCCAGGTGCTTATCATGTAAAGTTAAAAGGCCCTTACATCCTGCAGGCCTGAGCAAATGACTAGAGTGGGCTTCTGGGAAAGGAGGGAAAACAGGAAACTGTTAAGGAATAAGGGATCAGGAATTCTTCACCTTTTTGTTGTCATGGGCCCCTCTGACAACCTGGACACCTATGGGCCCCTTCTCAGAATCATGTTTTTAAATAAATGAAGGAAATGCTAGATTTCAGTTAGAGGTGAGTGAAAATAAATGATGAAATTTTTTCCCCTCTATACAAGTGTACAGACCCCATGAAATCTATCCATGGAATCCCTTTGGGATCCACAAGTTAAGAACCCCTGAACTAGAAAGAGTAGAAAGGGTAGGAAATTAGATTCTCCTGACTTTCATTTTTTATTTTGAACCTATTCCACTGATACTCTTGAGACGCTTGAGGAGATGGCATTTGAGGAGGCTAGAACCTTGATCCATCCCTATGCTTGTTCATCTCCAATCCAAGCAAGACAAGGCCTAAACCAGGGGTGGGGAACCTGCAGCCTTAAAGCCACATATGGCCTTCCAAATCCTTGAGTGCGGCCTTTTGACTGAATCCAAATTTTACAGAACAAATCCTTTAGGATTCAGTCAAAAGGCTGCACTTAAGGTTTTAGAAGGTCATATGTGGCCTTAAGGTCACTGGTTCCCCACCCCTGGGCCCTAAACCATTCCATGCCAATGAGTCCCATTTAAAGTCCCATAGATACAGCTCCAGCCTTAGTCAGGAGGACCTGAGTTCAAATCCGGCCTCAGACACTTGAAACTTACTAGCTGTGTGACCCTGGGCAAGTCACTTAACCCCGATTGCCTCACTAAAAAAAAAATAATAATAATATTAAAGTATACATGGATAAGCAGCTTAAAATAAGGTAAGGCATACATGTAGGAAAAAATCTCCTTCCAAAAAGGTGGACTTGAGCAACTGGGAGAGTCTAACAAGCAGACAGTGTCAGGTCCAGGATTTAAATCACAGCAATATGAATTTTTCCATCTGACAATCCACATTTCTAAATCACTGGCATTTAAAAGCTACTTCTGAGACTCTCAAGAGTTTTAAGATCAGAGCAGCTTGCTCTATGCAACTTCCCATGAAAAATGTAATTAATTGAATTGTAATTGATTCCCAATTCAGAAACAGTTACAAACTGCCCAGGTCTGAGTTAGCCAGGAAGCCGTGAGTCATCTGAAACAAAGTGAATCAGAATGTGCTTATTTAGGAAGCTGGCGGCCCAGTGAAGCATGGACTTTCTGGAAAGTGAGCTGGGTGGGGCCCTCCCTCCTCTGACTCTTCCTCATCTCCCGCCCCCCCAACATGAGGTTTGCTCTCAAAAAGTTAGGAAGAAGCAGAGTTGACTTAGAGGTTGTAGTCCAGACAGTGACAGAGCGGGGAAGGGAAGGAATCGTCCTTTGCCCCAAGGAGCGGCGCTGGGGAAGATGAGGAAGGGAAAGGCCACTTGGTAACAAGAGGAAGTTGGGGGCCAGGAGGGAAGTGAGCATCCGACCTTAGGCCGACTGAGAGGCTTTCGCCAGGAAGTGGCCTACGAGTGGGGGAACTGTCCCACAGGTTATGGAAGGCTGGCCGGGGAGATGGCCAGCGTGGGAGTCGGATGTGACACAGAGCAAACCTCTCCTGGTGGACAACCTATCCTTCTCAGGCATCCCCAGGCTCCGCCAGGCCCTCAGCATCCACAGGTCCTGAGATGCCAGGTGGGTCCAGAAAGAAAACTCTCAGACGAAGGAGTGGTTTCTTTAAAAACTGTGGCTGTGATTCCAGAGAGGAGGAAAACCCTCTGCCAAAGCCCGTGAGCACCTGCTCCTGAACTGAGGGTCTTGGAGAGCTGTGTGTGTGCGGGTCCTGACGGAGACGTGGCTTGTCCTATGTGGGTCGAGGCAGGACTTGAACCCAAATCCAACCCTCCGACTCTGAGGCCAGCCCTCTAGTAAACAGGCCATGCTGGCTAGTTTAGCCTGATATTTTCATTCTGGACAAGTGGGTCATAGGCCATAGCCCTTCGTTTATATTTTTTCCACCTCCTGTAACATCATTCCGGCAGAAATTAGAACCCTCATTTGGTAGAGAGGAGAGGCTTCCAGACTGGGAGAAGTCACTCTGGTTGGATGGCCTAGAATGCAGGTACTTAAATTCAGTGCCTCCATGTCCCCTCCTCCAGTCTGGCTTCCTGGGCAGCTAGGTGGTGCCACAGTGCACAGAGCACTGGGCCTGGAGTCAGGAAGACTCATCTTCCTGAGTTCAAATCCGGCCTCAGACACTTCCTAGCTGTGTGACTTCACCCTGTTTGCCTCAGTTTCCTCCTCTGTCAAATGAGCTGGAGAAGGAAACGGCAAACCCCTCCAGTATCTCTGCCAAGAAATCCCCAAATGGGGTCATGGAGAGTTGGACGCGACTGAAAGAATTAATAACAACAAATCTGGCTTCCAGCTCCACCCTTCACTCGAAATGCCTCCGTCCAACGTCAGCAATGATCTCTCCATCGCCAGATCTAACGGCCTCCTCTCCATCCTCATCCTCCTTGGGCTCTGACACCGTTCATCACCCTCTGTTCCTGGATACTCCCTCCTCTCTTGGTTTCTGTGCTCTCTTGGTTCTCCTCCTACCTCTCTGACAGCTCCTTCCTAGTCTCTTTTGCTGATTCATCATAGTGTGTCATGCCCCCTAACTCTTAGTGCGTTCCAAGGCCAGGGGTTTCCTTCCTGAACAAAACCAAACCAAAACCCAGGGGGCTAAATAGACTCCTGAAGCATGAGCACTCCACTGGACCCAAACTAGTAACTATGGAAAATTCAGAAATCAAAAGTAGAATTCTATAGGTGTATTAGCTGAAGGGTTTGCCCTACCTACATTCGAGTATTCTTACAACATAAAAGGGAGTCTCACAACATAAAGTGAGGGACAATGTGGTATGGAGGATTTTGGAATCAGGAAGACCTGGGTTCAGGTCTCCCCTCTGACACATACTTGGCTAGGTGGCCTTGGGCAAGTCATTTCACATCTTAGTGTTCCAGACACTCAAAACTGTAGAGCAAGTTCTAATTTGCATTAGAGGGGTTTTCTTCCTAGAAATCTATAGGCCAGATCCAAAAAATTAAAACCAAAAAGGTCAAGGGGATTGAGCGTTGGGGAGGAGAGAGGAGAAATGTGGAAGGGGAGTGAGTTAAAGCAGGAGGGCTTAAGATAATATGAGATATGTCCCACAGTAGCTACAGAGATGAGCCTGACAATGGCATAATATGTTTTAAACAGAGGCCATAATTAATCATAGACAACTGCATTTTCTAAGTCCCCGAGACTTAAAAGCTTGCTGCTGCAATCGTGCATACAAAAACAATGAGCTAACAGGAAAATTTTGCACAGAAAAAGTTCCTGAATCAAAAATCGCAGCTCCCAGGAACAGGACAAAAAATATAGCATAAGATCCCATTTCTTTGCTCAAGAGTCTGTGCTGCTCCCTTCTGGTCACAGGGCATCAAAGACATCCTTATCTGCCTCGTACTTATTACCTTAGCAGGGCAGTGATCCACCTGCTTAATAAGCATTTATCCAGCACCTACTGTGTGCAAGTGATTTGAAGTGACAGACCCTGAGGATGCTGGGGGAGGAGGAGGAACTCTGTGAGGCTTCAGGGCCTACCTAAGGAAGGTGCTTCAGGCTACTGCTTGTTGTCCAGACTGAAAACTGGCCCGGGGCTAGGGGAAGAAGGCTTGTGCCCTGGGCAGCGGTGTGAGGGGCCAGAAGGACTGGGCTGCTGGGGGAAGGAGAGAGCGGTCACGTACCTGCAGCTCTGGCAGGTGAGGGATGCAGCACTGAGGCGGAGCAGGTGGTGAGCAGGGGCAGAGTTGGAAGAGTGAGATGCTTGCAATATCACTGAAGGACCACGCTCCCCAATAAGCTCAAAGTGGTTTGTAAGACAGGAGAGACCTGAGCAGGTTTGAAAGCAGTGGAGAAGGAGTCAGCAAGAAGGCGGAATTGAAGATTCATGAAAGACAGGCCGGAGGAAGAGTCAGCCCTGGGCAAAGGTGAGAATCCCTAAATCCTCTGAGACAGGAGAAGTGAGAATGGCCTCACCAGCTCCCTGACGGCTATTTGAACCAGGAAACCTTTCACCCCAGGTGTGACTGGAGCAGGAGAACTTTCTTTACTTGCTCTGTGTGATGACTGCCCACAGGTGGGCTGTCAGGCCCTACTCACCTGGGTTAAGACGTTCAGCTGTTCCATGATGTGTTCCAAGGCATAGGTTACGGCCAACGGGATGCTCTTCTGGCCATTGGTAGAGGTGAAAGAGCTGACACCCTTGTCTTCCAGTTTCTTCTCCATGGGTACGGTGGAGCTCATTGAGAAAGAAGGGGCTAACGCAGGGTTCAAGAAGTGGGGACTGCTGTAGTCTGGCGGCGTTTCGTTAGCAGTTGGGATTCCCTTTGGCATAATAGGAAAGAAAGAAAGATTCATAATTTCCAACCTTCAGGAACTTCTTACATGTAAATTAATTAATAAAAGATTTTCAATTTCTCTCTACCAAAAAGCCCAACATAAAATTCCGATCAAATCATCTTCACCTACAAGGGAATTCTGGGAATGACAATTACAAAAAAAAAAAGGGCAAAGCTCAGGGCTTACAGAGGAAATTCAGTTAGCACCGATGTTTTCAACATAAACTACACCTTGCCTACATCTGTCTGAAGGATTAAATGTTTTGCTATTAAAAAGAGTAAGCTAAATCCAGTTTAATTCTGATTTTAAAAAGGAGGATAACCATTCTATATATTAAAAAAATCTTCAATCAAAAATTGATTTCTGATTATTACTTCTCCATCTAAATATTCCTGAAGAAGAGTGTGTGGTCCTGGGAAAGTCACTTAACCTCTGCCTGAAGGACTTGAACCCAGGTCTTCCAGAGTTAAAGGCTAGCCAGCCTATCACTCATTGCTGCATTTCTTTAATAGTGTATTTTTGTCTAACAGACTGTATTGATCCCAATGAGCCAGAGAAGTCCTGTGGGCTGTACCTCAGAAACTCAATCAAACCCTGCAAATTACTCCTTGAACCATGTCTGATAACATCAAAGTGAATTTAAAAGGCATTCACAGAAATGACTTTTCTAGCCTGTAATACTTCAACTAGAAGCTAAGTTTTATTTCTTTTTTTTTTTGCAAACTTGTAAAAATTTATTTTTAGTTTTCAACAATCACTTCAACAAGCTTTTGTGTTTTAAATTTTTTCCCCCTCCCTCCCCACTTCCCTCCCCAAAATGGCATGCAATCCGATATAGGCTCTACATATATATTTCTATTAAATATATTTTCACATTAGTCATGCTGTAAAGAATAATTCAAAGCAATAGGAGGAACCACAAAAAAGAAAAAATAAAACAAAACAGAAGAAAAAAAAGAGCAAATAGTATGTTTCGATCTGTATTCAAACTCCATTGTTCCTTCTTTGGATGTGGATAGCATTTTCCATCATGAGACCTTTGGAGACGTCTGAGATCCTTGCGTTGCTGAGAAGGGTTAAGTCTATCAAAGTTAGTAATCACACAACTGGCTGTTACTGTGTACAACACTCTCGTGGTTCTGCTCACTTCACTCAGTATCCATCCACACAAGTCTTTCCAGGTTTTTCTGAAGTCTGCCTGCTTATCATTTCTTATGGCACAATAGTATTCCATTACATTCATATACCACAACTTGTTCAGCCATTCCCCAATTGATGGGCATCCCCTCAATTTCCAATTCTATGCCACCACAGAAAGAGCTGCTATATTTTTGTACATGTGGATCCTTTTCCCACTTATATGATCTCATTTCCCTAGAAATGTTATTGCTGGGTCAAAGGGTATACACATTTTAATAGCCCTTTAGGCATAGTTCCAAATTGCTCTCTAGAATGGTTGGATCAGTTCACAACTCCACCAACATCGCATTAGTGTTCCAATTTTCCCACATCTCCAAAATTTATCATTTGCCTGTTCTGTCATGTTAGCCAATCTAATAGGTGTGATGTGGTACCTCAGAGTTGTTTTGATTTGTATTTCTCTAATCAAGAGTGATTTAGAGCATTTTTTCACATGACTATAGATAGCTTTAATTTCTTCATCTGAAAACTGCCTGTTCATATCTGTTGACCATTTATCATTTGGGGAATGACTCATATTCTTATAAATTTGACTCCACTCTCTATGTATTTTAGAAATGAGACCCTTATCAAAGACACTGTTTGTAAAAATTCTTTCCCAGTTTTCTGCAGAGCTAAGTTTTAAAAGCACTCTCTATCATCCTATGAACATAACTCATTACCATCTTATGAGGCCTTACATCTGACATGACCAAGAGAAGTTAAAAACTTTCCTGTAAATTTTGAGAAGCAAAACAATGGCTCTAAAAGGCTGTGGATGAACACAGAGAAATCAAACCCTCTTTGATACTCTGCTTCTGTCACTTAACCACATAAAAACTCCAAGCATTTAAGATTGTAAATTTCATTCTCCAAGCTAGGAGAACTGAGAATTCTCCTAAATAATGCTAGGATTTGATCACAATTGATTTTCAGCTACTGAGGTGATGGTAAGGAATTCAGTAATTAGCAGGGTGTATAATAATAAGTGTATCTCTAATAAATGGTAATATAAAAGGTATGAAGGGACAAGAGATATACGTGCAAGAAGACAAAGTGTATCCCAGGACTACAGGACACATTCCTAATGCTAAGGAGCAGTCTTCCCATGTATGTTGGGGTCTCTGGGGGATGGGTTAGAATGTGAGAGGATGAGTGAGTCAAAGGAACCTCATCAACCACTGCAGGATAAGAAATCTCTACATGTTCTTGAGTTATCTGAACATGGTTACTCAGCATTATCACTTTTTAAAGGGAGGGTCTGGATTTTATGGCTCATGTGATCATCTGTGATCACCCCCAAAGCAATGGAGAGGTGCATGGTGGGTGTGCATAGGCGGGAACACATTCTAAACAAGGAATCATGAGAAGTGATACAAACGATGTCATTCTGTCTTATATCCAGCCAGCAGTTGAGACCGGTTGAGCCTACCTCCACAACATCTCACATCTGTCCTCCAAAGTCAGGCCCCCATCGCTTACTGCGAAGCCTGTTGGGCTCCCTGACTCAAGCCTCCCACCTCTGCTATCTATCTTTCACAGGAGCTGCCAAACTGTCCCTTGCCTGCTCAAGAAGCTCTGATGGGTCCCTTTCATCCCGAGAGCCCTCGTCTATCTGCTTCCAACTCATCTTTCCAGACCAATTTCCCATGATTCCCCCTCCCACGTTTTGTGTTCCAGCCAACTGGTCTACCTGATGTTGCCTGCACACACCATTCTATCATCCACTACCATGTCTTGTCTTAGGATGCTTTCCCCGCCCACTTCCAGACTATGAGAACCTCTAGCTCCCTTCAATCCTCAGCGCCACTGCCAGGATGGCCTTTCCGGATTCCTCCAGCCGTTACTCTTCTCCCAATTATGTGGGATGTGTTTTACATTTACTTACTGTATGCTTCTTGTTTATCCCTAATAGAATGTAAGCTCCTCAAGGGAAGGGAGTGTTTTACCTTTGTGGCTGCAGGGCCTAGCACTGTGCCTGAGATACAGTAAGTACTCAAATGCTTGTTTTTTGGTATTTTTTTTTTTGAGGTAATGAGGGGTTAAGTGACTTGCCCAGGGTCACATAGCTAGTAAGTGTCAAGTGTCTGAGGCCAGATTTGAACTCAGGTCCTCCTGACTCCAGGGCCACTGCTGTATCTACTGTGCCACCTAGCTGCCCCAATATTTGGTGCTATTAAAGAATGTTATAGAAGAAAGGTACTAATGAGGAAAAAAAAAGTTGGACTGGCTACCTCTTCAGATCGAAGGATAATGGATGGACAGCTTAGGTATCTGACATTATTTGTACTTTGCCAAGATAAAGCAAAGAGGGCCCCCAGCATGTTGGGTGGGTCCCCTAGGGTAAACGGGAGGACTTGGCTAAGAGTCACACAGAATGGGCATCATGGGTTGGTTATGACTGGCATCAGTGAAACATTATGTATCCAAGCATGGGGAAACCAGGTTATCTGCATGTGGGCCACCTTCCCATAAGAACCAGAACAGATACACATACATGTGTGCACACAGGTGCACCTACATATACATATAATCTCACTTCAAAATTAAAGGAGCAGAGCTGCTCAGGCAAGGAGGACGAGGCAAGACTACTCAAAATCCAGCCGTTAAGGGAAGGAAAAGCGCCCAAGGAATGAAGGTGAATAAGGAGCTTTAAGTTACCTGTTCTAATGGCACCAAATTGTGAAACTAGTGAAAATATGGCTATAGTCCTATGTCAACGTTATCCCAACAAATCTGTAAGCAATTATTATATGCAGATCACTGGTGGGGTTACACAAAGATTAGGTATGATATAGGACCAGCCATCATACAACATGGAGTCTAGTGACGGGATAAGATACACACACAAAATAACTACAACACACAAAAACATGAAAAATATAATCAGAGAAGTCATCAGGGTAGGAAGAGATAACCATTATCAGCTGGAAGATTCTTCACTTATGTACATGAATTTAAAAGGGTGAAAAAGTACTGGACTGCCTAACCATAAAACTAACCAAGTTCTTTTTTATTTTTTCGTAAGGATCAGGGCTAAAATTTGGGAAGATGTTTTCCCATGGCCAACAACCCTAAATTTGAATGTTGTTTTTGCAGAGTACAAAAAAAATGGAAGACGACTGAGGAAGTTCCTTTGTACAAAAAAAGAAAAAAAAATCAACCTGACCAAAAAAAAAAGGCATTTAAATATGACAGACTAGCAAAGTGAGATTGCATATTCTCTTTCCCCTTTCCAGAGGTTCTTAATCTTTTTTATATCTTTGTATTTTTGGCAGTCTTGTGAAATCTGGTCTCAGAATAATGCATAAAATAAAATACATAGGCTTAGAAAAGAAACCAGTTATACTGAAATGTTTATATATCTATACACATATGTGTATGTGTATATATATATATATATACACACACATATATCCTCCCTCATCCCCCACAGACCCTAGGCTAAATACTCCACCCATAATTCTCGAAACAGGCCCTTACTTCAAATGTTATATTAATGAACAAAACAGAATTGATTGACGTTCTCCAGTTTCTGCATAGTAAAGACTCCATTGGGTAGGAAGGTTCACACAAGCATAGAGTATTTATCTTGCTAAAAGTCTGAAATGGAAATTGTGAGCCAGCCAGGTGATGTGTTCTCAAGTTATATTGAATTACAGTTATTCTAATATTTAATATTTAAATATTCTAACATTTAACATTATATTTAATAATTTAATAGTTATTTGCTAAGCCTCTTCTTTATATAAGACAGAATACAGGTGCCAATTGCAAAGTTGAACTGGAATGACATTCTAGCCCCTGCCTCTGGGAGCTTACATTTTGGCAGAAGAGATAAAACAAGCCCACAGATAACTAGGACGCCAAGGTAGAAAGCGGAAAGACAAGGCATAAACACAGTCTACAGGGATTCAGAGGAAGGAGACATTGTCTCAAGTCCAACTGCCCAGGTGATTTTTTCTTCTCCTCTCTTTCTTCCTAGCTGCTGAGCCATATCTGAAGCCCAGCAGGGGAACCTCTTGGTATGCAAGGAAGAGAGCAAGAAAGTCCCCTGCCCTTCAGTTCTCCCTTTGCCAACAGTGACCAGCCCCAGAAAAGCAGCAGCCATCTGCTGTTAGGCAATCGATCACCAAGCACTTATTAGCAAGTCCCAGCCCCGTTGGGGATGACTCAGAATGCAAGGAATGAAAGAATCGTTCTTCTCAATCTGGCCAGGGGAGAGCACAAGGTCACATCTGGGTATATAAAGAACAAATATGAAGACAATAAATTAACAGAACTACTGGGTGGTTAAACACGGGCCAGTTAGGGAGAGCATTAGTGGGTGGTGAGGTCAGGAAAGGCCCCGCCTTCAGAGGATGAAGCTGGAGCTGTATCTTGATGGAAGAGGGGGATTCTGAGGTGGAAGTGAGGGGGGCATGCATGGAGGCATGGAGCTGAGAGGTGGAGGGCCAATCAATGAATAAGCATTTACACTCTGTTGGAGGTTCTGCTCTAGGCACTATACAGAAAGAAAGGAGAAACAATCAGAATCTGTCTAGATTGCAGAGTACAAGAGCGCAGGTCATTGATATACAAGGCTGGAAAGATATGATGGAGTTAGGTTGTGAAGGGCTTTAAAAGCAAAACTGAGGAGTTTAGATTTGACCTTGGAGGGAATAGGGAGTCACTGCAGTCAATGGAGAAAGGGAGTGACACGGTCAGATCTACACTTCAGGGAAATTAATTTTGTGCAGACCAAATAGACAAGTAGCCAATACCACTGTTATCAGAGTATTTATGAAATGTACAATTACAGTGGGCAGCTAGGTGGCACAGTGGATGGAGTGCCAGGCCTGGAGTCAAGAAGACTCATCTTCCAGAGTTCAAATATGGCCTTAGACACTTACTAGCTGTGTGACCCTGGGCAAGTCGCTTAACCCTTTCTCAGTTTTCTCATCTGTAAAATGAACTGGAGAAGGGAATGGCAAACCATTCCAGGATGTTTGCCAAGAAAGCCCCAAATGGGGACAGGAAGAGTCAGATATCACTAAACGAGTGAACAACAAACAACTACAACTAGATGACTCTCCTGGGTTAAAAAAAAGCACAAGATATTCATAAAATCATTTCTTTTGGATGCAAACACTTGGAACAGAGATTGGCCACTGGACTGCTTCTGGACTTGCTGTCAGACCAGGATCCAGGCTGACCTTTAGTTCATCTGAGAATCCCAGGGCAGCGGGAATGACTTGGCTTCAGCAGTGACTCATCGCTGTGCTGAGCTGCTGGCTCTTTTCCTCAATTTCTAATTCTTTCCTGAGGTCAGAAATCAGTGGTTAGTGGAACCTAACCTGGATAAGCCAGGGAACAGGGGAAAGGGCTGCAGAATGGCTCCCACGGCCCTCTTGGGAACACATCACCTGGCTAGCTCTCAATTTCCATTTCAGACTTTTAGCAAGATAAATACCGTATGCTTGTGTGAACGTTCCTACCCAGTGGAGTCTTTACTATGCAGAAACTGGAAAACATCAATCAATTCTGTTTTGTTCATTGACATAAATTTGAGAAAAATGTTTAATTTGTATTCTTCGTTGCCATATTTTGCCCAGGAAGAACTGTATGGTCTCTTTTTACAATAGCCTTCAGGGTTTGGGAATGAGGTTAGCCTTTCATCTTTGATTCCTCATCCTCAAAACCCTTGTGAAATCACATATTTCTTTTTTTAGGTGGGGGAGGCCAGAATACTTGGACACTCCCAGAAATACAAAACCCCAGTCCATTCTAAGCCTCCTAGCACATCTGGGTGATTAATTCATTCCTCTCAGAAAACGCTCCTGGAATCACGAATCCACCAAATGCTTTTGTCTTTGTCATTATCTCTTGAGTCTCATTAATTCTGAAAACATAGCTGGGCAGGGAATACCAGACCCAATAAATGACCCAAGTCTATATGCATATTTTTTCCTACTTACATTCCATTTTTTACACATTTTAGTAGAAGGCAGGCAGCCAATTCATTAAGGGGAAGATTTGTGTCTTCCATGCACACCTCCCCAGCCCCCTCCTCCCTAGCAAAGTGGGTGATTGATATGTAATAATGATAAATATTGGGCAGCGAGGTGGTGCAGTGGATAGAATGCTGGGACTGGAGTCAGGAAGACATCTTCCTGGGTTCGAATCTGGCTTCAGACACATACTGGTTGTGTGATCCTGGGCAAGTCATTCAACCCTGTTTGCCTCAGTTTTTTTTTATCTGTACAATGAGCTGGAGAAGGAAATGGCAAACCAGTCCAGTAAGTAAACCCCAAATGGGGTCATGAAGAGTTGGAGACAACGGAAAATGACTGAATAAAAATAATAACAACAACATGATAAAGAATAAAATGATTGTGTCCAGGTGACAGAATTTCCAAACTTAACTCTTACTAAATCAAGATCCTAACTTAATACTAAAGGCTGTGAAGGGAAAAGGGAAAGGAAGGCAAAGCTGGTCAAATGACAAGTCAATAAAATCCTCAGTAAATTCAAAGGAGAGAGATACCTGCTTTCTAAACACAAGCACTAACTGGGCACTTCCTTCTCCTTCTAGGGTAGGACACATCCAACATAAGATGAAGTGGATAGAGAGAAGAGACCCCTATTCAAGATTATCCTTCATGATGAAAAAGAAGAGATAAGAAGTAGTCCCAGAGGTCACCTTAATTTAACTGGTGTTAGATAAAAATGTATGGTTGAGAGTTAAATATTCCTATTTTGACAAAAATTCTTTGAGATTTGTATAATGAATATGTAATCTCATCCCCTATGTGATCAAACACAACACAATTAAGATGTTTTTGAGGATTCTCACAAAATAATTGTTGTAGAGTTGGAGAGGGCATCATTATTTTCTGGATTTTGAAAACTATTTCCCAAGCCTCCTCTGGTGTTTGAGAACTGGATTCATATTTCTGGGCCATGGCAAAAAACAGAGACAATGAGTTTTTTAGCCAGGGATGGAATGCACCTAATGAAGGTCAGGGAAAACAGAATTGCCTGAATGCTAGAGAAAAATCTAATAAGGATTTGAAAAAGGAAGAGAGGGTGAACATCATTCACATGGATGACCATACACATGCCATATACAGAGGTACAATAGAAGGGGAATCACAGAAACAGATTTAGAGCTGAAAGGGGTCTTAGAGGTCATCTACACCAACCCCTTCATTTTATAGATGAAGAAACTGAGTACCAAAGAGGTTAAACATCTTAACCAAGACCATATTTGTAACAGAGCCAGAATACTAAGTTAGGACCTCAGACTGTAAGCACATTACTCTTTGTACTAAAATGTGACCTAGAGAACAAGGTCTGTCTCGCTTTTCTATTTTTATTTTCAGGACCTAAACAATGACTTGGCACATAATCGATCCATCAGTGAGCATTTATTAAGTACTGACCATGGGCCAAGACCTGTGCTGAGTCCTAGGGTTACAAAGCAAAAGCTCAAATAGTTCCTGACTTCAGGGAGCTTACATTCTAAAGGAGATTGAGGTTCACCATATCACAATGCCCCTTGAGAATGGAAGAGAGGATTACTAATGCCAGAGACAATATGAAAAAGAAAGCAGTAACCCATGACCTCCTATGTCTCATACAAGTGAAAAAAGTATTGATAATATATAGAAAGAACTCGCAACATTAATATAGAGAGGCAAATGTGACCTCAAAGGTATCACAGATCCTGTGGTGTGGGACTGGTAGCTTGAATGTAGCTCTGGAAAGGAATGCCTTATTTTAAAAACCAATCAGTCAGTTACTAGTAAGAGCAATGCAAATCCAAACAACCTTGAGGTTTCACCTCATACTCTGAAAATTGGTAAAGACGATGAAAATGGGAATAGTCAATGCTGGAGGGGTTGTGGGAATATGGGCACACTGTTGCACTCTTGGTGAAGCTGTGAATCATGGCAACCATTTTGAAGAGCGACTTGGAGTGATGTAAATAAAGAGCCTAAAATACTCATATCCTTTGAACCAGAGACTCATTCACTACTTACTGAGCTTATACTCCAAGTAGCCCAGGATAAGAAGAAAGTCCTCATATACAATAAAAATCTTATAGCAGCACTTTTTTGTAATAGTAAAGAATTGTAAGCAAAGTAGATGCCCATCAACTGGGGAATAGTTAAACAAACCTTGGTATATGAATGTCATGGGATATTGCTGCACTCTAAAATAGTGTGTGTATTGAATATAGAGGAGCAAGAAAAGATTTCCATCAACTGATGCAGAGTGAAGTAGGCAGAGCCAAGAAACAATGAACACAAAGAGCACAACAATGTATTCAAAGAATAAGCACACAGGAAAAAAAAAAGTGAATATCACACAATGATAAAGAACAAACGTGGTCTGAAAGAAGAGCTATAAGATCTTCCCAACATACTCCCTTCATTCGCACAGGTGTTGAATAATGCACATGTTTTCGAATGTATTGATCGATTGTGCTTTTTCCTCTTCTGTTTCTTTTAAAAAAAAACTATTTGCATGTGGTTCTCTTAGATATGGATGGTTCTCTTGGAGGTAGAAGGGGAGGGATACTGGGGAAAACTATGATGATGTAAAAAGCAAAAAGACATTAACAAAAACTTTAAAAAAATCAAGCAAGCAATGAGCTTTACTAAGCACTAACTATGCGTCAGGAAATGTGATAAGCATTGAGAATCTAAAGACAGAAGTGAAAGTTACAATAGGAGAGACAACATGATTAAAATGATAAAAAATGATAAAATGATAAAAAATGGATAACCGTGGGATTGTCACTTTTCCCCTGACTGTTTCTCTCTAAACTCCATAAAAATGATATGAAATGATAAAATGATAAAAATGATTAAAAAAAAAGATAAAAAATACATATCCAAAATGAATGCAAGGTAGTTTTGGGAATGAGGGCTGTGCAAGGTCACCAGCCTCACTTTCTCCTCCAGAGCCATCTGGGTCCAATGGCCAGATACAGATCAGGACAACTGGAGATGGCCCCCATAAGAAGGGGAATAAGGGGTAAGAAAATTAGAGAGTTAGGAAGGGTCAGGTTGTGAAGAAATCTGAATGTCAGAGTTCATATTTGGCACTAGGGAACCACTGGAATTTACTGAGTACAGAGATGATATAGTCAGACATGTATTTTAGGAAAATCCCTTTGACGGTTGTGTGGTGGATGGATGGACTCAAGTGGGGAGTGACTCGGGGCTCAGGACCAAATAGGAGGTTACTGTGATGGTCCAGATGAGAGGTGACAAGGGCCTGAATGAAGGTGGTAGTTGTGTTAGTAGTGATGAGGCAACGTATTCAAGAAATAACGTGAAAATAGAAATGACAAGATCTGGTGATGGATCGGCTATGTGGGGACAGCGAAAGAAGAGAAACAGGTTATCAGGATACTGATACTGAGGTTACAAGTCTAGGTGACTGGAAGGATGGTGGGCTTTGGGGTCCTGAGAAGATGAGTGAGATGCCTCTAGGATCCAGTCTGAAATGTCTAATTGATTGATAACTGATGATTTGAGACTGGAGCTCAGGGGAGAGACTAGGGCTGCATGTACAGATCTGGGTAATGTGCCCAGGGGGAGTAACTGAATCTGTGGGAATTGGAGAAGTTACTGAGACAGAGTCTATAGAGAAAAGGGAAGAGGGACCAGACACACACCTACAGTTATTAAGTATGATACGGCTGATGAATCAGCAAGAGAGACTGAGAAGGAACAGACAGACAGGTGTGTGGGCAAGCCAGGAAACAGAAGTCAGGAAAACCCAGAGAAGACAGAGTGCATAGGAGGAAAGGAGGACATTACATGTGGCAATTAAAAGGTCCCTGGCAACTTTGGTGATATCAGTTCTAGCTGAATGATGAAATGGGAAGCTGAATGGAGAGGGAGAGCAGGGGAAGTGGAGGCACGGAGACAAGCCAGTTTTTCCACAGAGTTTAGCTGAGAAAGGGAAGGGAGATGGAAGGTGATATTTAGCAGTAATGGTGGGATCTTTGTTATCCAGTCATTTTTCAGTCACGCTCAACTCTTTGTGACCCTGTTCTGGAGTGGTTTGCCATTTCCTTCTCCAGCTAATTTTTTTATTAATTAATTAATTTTTAGCTTTCAACATTCACTTCCACAAGATTTTGAGTTCCAGATTTTCTCCCCATCTCACCGCTCCCCGCACCCCAAGATGGCATGCATTCTGAATACCCCGTCCCCTAATCTGCCCTCCCTTTTATCTCTCCCCCACTTCTCTTATCCCCTTCCCCTTCTATTTTCCTGTAGGGCAGGATAGATTTCTATACCCCATTGCCTGAATATCTTACTTCCCAGTTGCATGTGAAAACAATTTTTAACATTTGTTTTTAAAACTTTGGGTTCCAAATTTTCTCCCTTCCTCCCTCCCCACCCACCCTCATTGAGAAGGCAAGCAACTCGATACAGGTTATACATGCGTTGTCTTGCAAAATACTTCCATAGTAATCATGTTGTGATAAACTAACTCTATTTCCCTTCATCCTATCCTGCCCCCCCATTTATTCTATTCTCTCTTTTGACTCTATTCCTCCTCAGAAGTATTTGCTTCTGATTATCCCCTCCCCCAATCTGCCCTCCCCTCTATCATCTTCCTGCTCTCTTATCCCCTTCCTGCCTATTTTCCTGTAGGGTAAGATAGCTTTCTATACCCAACTGAGTGTGTATGTTATTCCCTCCTTAAGCCAAATCTGATGAGAATAAGATTCACTCATTCCCTCTCACCTTCCCTCATTTCCCCTCCACTGTAAAAGCCTTTTCCTGTCTGTTTTATGTGAGATAATTTACACCATTCTACCTCTCTCTTTCTCCTTCTCCCAGTATAATCCTCTCTCACCCCTTAATTTTGTTCTCCAGATATCACTCCGTCATCTTCAACTCACCCTGTGCCCTCTATCTATCTATCTATCTATCTATCTATCTATCTATCTATCTATCTATCTATCTATCTATCTATCCATCTCCAGCTCATTTTTCAGAGGAGGAACTGAGGCAAAGAGGATAAGTGACTTGCCCAGGGTCACAGAGCTAGTAAGTATTGAAGGTGAGATTTGAACACAGGAAGATGAGACCTCCTGACTCTAGGCCCAGGGCTCTATCCACCGTGCCACCTAGCTGGGATCTAGTGAGGACTTTTTAAAAAAAATAGAGAATTAGGCTAGTTTGTATGGAACAGGAAAAAAGCTAATGGGGAGGGAGAGACTGAAGGTTAGTGAATGAGAAGTTATAATCAAAGGGGCAATTTGCTAGAGAAGAAAGGAGGGATGGAATCAAAGGAAACTAAGATGGATAGAAAAAAGGGGCACGATACTGTAAAAATTATCAGGAGAGGTAAATTCCAAAAGAATGTGCTGAAGCTGGGGAGGGAGGAAAAGTAGGATGCTAAGGGTAGGAAAAAAAAAGGTAGTTGCTTAGTTGTTTTAAAACCATGTTGGGTCAAGAAAAGGCTCAAAGGAGATATAGGTCTGCTGTCCAAGGTGGCGGGTTGTTGATAATCAAAGATGGTGTAAAGGGTGAACTATGTGGATTTACTCTCATCATTATTAGCAGTAGAACTGGTAGTAAGGTATCTTTCATATCATGTTTGATGGAATTTAGAGAGACACGGTCCTGGGAAAAGTGACGATCCTGCTGTCATCCTTTTTTTAGTAACTATTTCATGGATCATTGCACAGGTAGATAAAATAACCATTTTGTGGATGAAAAGCAGTATGAGGATTCAAGCTTGGTGTTTCTGCTGGTCCTGTCACTTCATTTTTCTAATATCTGTGATGGAGTTCAGATCAAAGTGGTCTAAGGACAAGTCATTCCCCCACTCTGATTCTTTCAATGTTCTACGTACTGAAAAGGAAGGAGATAAGCATTGATTAGTTGTCTACTATGTGCCAGGCACTGTGATAAGTGCTTTCCAAGAGTAATCTCGTCGGATCCTCACAACAACCCTTGAGAGGCAGGTGCTGCTATTATGCCCATTTAGAGTTGAAGAAACTGAGGCAGACAATGATTAAGTGACTTGCCCAGGGTCAATAAGTCAATGATATTTATTAAGCACCTACTATGTGCAGGCACTGGCTCACACTGCTGGGATGTATCAAGGCCAAATTTGACCTCCAGTCTTCCTGACTCCAAGCCCAGCATTCTAGCCACTCTGTGACTTTGCCACTTCAATCTTCTTACGCAATACTCACTTTGCTTCTTTTTTATTTTAGAAACAAAATGATCTTCAGACTCAAGAGAAGAGAACAGATTGCTTTTTGGGGGAGGGCACAGATAAGCGAGGAGCCAGACAGAAGGCATGGAACTGCTGTCAGTAAGTTCGAGCGTCAGCAGGCGCAGATGAACCAGCCCCGAGAGGGCTAGGGATGGATGGAGGTGGATGCCGAGTCTCTCACTCACTGTCAGTGATCTCTGAAAGATCAGAGAGAATTTGTTAAGGTGCCACATGACTGGATGAGAGCAAATGTCACCCTGGTTTTCAAAGAAAGGGAGGAGGGTCTGCAGACATCGGGCTGGTGAGCTTGATTTCTAGTCCTGGAAAAATACTAGAACAATATTTAAGGGGATGGTTTGGGAGCGAAGCAGTGACCTGTAAAAACTGGCATAACTTTGCTGAGGAAAGGTCACGCCAGACTAACCTCATTTCCTTTTCTCATAGGGTAAGGGAAGGGAATGAGCATTTAAATGCCTACTGTGTGCCAGGCACTGTGCTAAGCACTTTACAAATGTTATCTTGTTTGATCCTCACAAGAACTGGGGTAGGTAGGTGTATAGGGACACTCTCCTGGTAGAGCAGAAGAATGCTATGGAGGCAGCCAGGTAGTGCAGCGAGTAGAATTCTGGACCTGGAGTCAGAAAGACCTGAGTTAGAATTCCACTGCAAACACTTACTAGCTGTGTGACCCTGGACAAGTCACCTTTTTATACCTTCATTTCCTCATCAGCAAAATGGGGATACTAATGGCACCCACCTCACAGGATTATTGTGAGGATCAAGAGAGAAAATATATGTGCTTTATAAACATTAAAACCT